TTCGCACAACATATACACGCGCCTTTTGACAGCCAACCAACCAACATCTACAATTTGTTTGTACTTACGTTAATGTTAATTTGATTTGATTTATTTAAAATAAATACAAACTTCAATACCGCTATATCCATGCTATCGGCTCGGAATTTTTTATTTTACCGTGACAGAAATAACAAATGATATTTACGGTTTTATCCGTTCGAGTATCGAATGGCGAATGGTGAAGAGTGATTGAAACCTAATAGAGTTTAAAATGGAATTATTTCCTGGGTGCAGTCTATTTTCAATATTCAACGCATTGCAACTCCAGTGCATCTCGATCGGAACATATGGAGCTACTTTTCCCCATTAAGAACTATTTACATGTTTGCGATGCTGCCAAGTGTACCTTTGGTAGTTAATTGTCACGCAATGTAAAAATTTAATTTAAATGAAAAACGTAAGAGCCTTGTACCGCACTATTACGTTGCATTTTGTGTAGCTTTAGGTATTGACTTTTAAAAATCGTTTGCCAATATCTGTAGGTAATGAGCTGGTGTACTATTAGTAAATCAACAACAAAACCTTCAGCAGACAAGTGAAGTCTGATTTGTACTTTTTGTGTTGCTTTATTCATGTGTGTACACTGAAAACACAATGAGTCCTATCTATTATTGGATGAAGCTTTCTTTCACGAGATAATTATGTAGGTATACCTACGTCGGGCGATAGGACGGACCACAATGCAACTTTACACTTTGTTTATTTGTTATATGTTTATAGAAAGTATGCCTATATACGACCAGGTACGTGATAATAGAATTTTAGCCTGCAAAGATATTTTTTAAATTTATTAAAAAATAGTATATTCTTTTATAAGGAGTGTGTAGGGTATGTAGGGAAAACACAGACGAATCACAAAAAGTCACTTTACACGTTATAAAGTATACTTTTTTTAAACGTTGAATACCAAATTTTTACCTAGGATATAATAAGTACACATTTTAGTAATGATTTACGTGAACATTCTAAACATTTCAATTCAGTAAAAATCGTAAAAAAATAAGTCGTCTAAATTCAAACAGAGTTTTACTCAACGGTAAGAAAAACAAAAACGGGTATTATATTATGTATTATATAAGTATAATATTTTGTTGCCATAAATTCGTAGATATATTTTGTCGTTTACAAATTTAAAATGCAGTTGTCGGCGTTTTTTTAGGGGACTCAAATATAAAAATGTTTGATTTTAAGGTTAGGTTATTTTTTGTAAGATTTCTTTAAAATGTTCAAACTTAAATAAACAACTTGGTGTAGTGGAACACACCTAAAACAAAGGAATACTTGCGCTTATATACTGCGCTAATAAGTCAACAGAGGCGAGATGTAAGAACATCACGTCGGTAATCGGCAATCGGTACATACTATGCAACCAAGACTGCACACGGAAAATTGTATCACAGATACTAACATGGCCTAAAGGAATCTAGAATTAGCCCATCCGTGCTAAACATTGTTAAACATTCAATTTTATTAGTTTCTTCAAAAAACTTTCTTGACCCATTACTGGTAATATTCATAAGAAAGATTTGAACCTTCACCTCGCCAAAGTTTTTGGACAGTAATGGGTCAAGAAAGTTTTTTGAAGAAACTAAAAAAATTGAATGTTTACAAAATCCTATATAAATAATTCAACCAGAATTCTTAATATTTTCAAAAATGACCTTATTTTTACAAATCTTTTTGTAGACTTAGTAACAAAAGTATTTGTTAGAAATTGGAAACTTAAATAAAAAGAATTTTGATAAGAAATGTTGCTTTATTAATCAATTTCCTAAACAAAAAATTAACACATACCTACATAAATAACATTTACACAATTAAATAACACACCATTCTAAAATCATCAAATTATAAATAATTAACATTATTTTCGGTATTTTTTTTCCTTTATTGAAATAATTACATACCCTGGTTGTCTACAAAAAATTATGTTAAAATTTTACAAAATAAAATTAACAAATCTGATTTTTATAACGGTGTACTGAATTGGATTCTTTGGCAAAACATAAAAATGCAACGATTTAGTTCTTGAATTACATCTACAATTAAAAACAAAATAATTCACCATGATCATTTAGATTTGCCTTTTTTACTTGTAACTCAAAATTAAGATAAATTTTCTGTAGCCCAGTGTAATTTCATATTGTCTTAACGAGGGTAAATATGTATAAGACGCACATACTACATGTAAGTATATGTACATTGTACAGGGCGATTTTTCTTCCCGAAACAAACATCAACATTAATAACCTTTAACTACGCGAGGAATACATTATCCTACTAATTACACTCTCACTATCGTGTTATGGAAATTGAAAGCTACACCAATGTATACATGTGTGGGATTTTTGGATTTTTTCCTCTTAAGACGATTCCAGCCTTCAACGACCACTTCAGACTTAGCGCGCAAAAATTCTGCCTAGTTTAAAATTTAAATTTTCTACTGAACATACAGTACCTACGTAGTATGTATTATTATACAGGGTGGCCCACCATTTACAGTCCAGCAAGGCTTAAAATCAAGTACAGTTGATACAAGATGATATTGTCAAGGATAAAACTAACATTAAACTAAATATTAATCTTTCTTTAAACAAGCAGATCTTATTCTTGCCTGTTATATGTTAAGAAAGACTTTAAATGAAATAATCTTATTTTTAATTTATGATTAACAATCGATTAGACCAAATTTTGGAAAATTCCCTCTATTCTGTTCTTAAAAATATTAAACTATACTGTATATAAATATATTTATATTTATTCTAAGATTAGTAAATATTGGTACGACTGGCCTATTCTTAAAAAAATATTCCCCACGCACGAAAGTGTCCGACATTTTGGAAGATTGTTTCTTGTGTTAGTTAATATTTGGTTTGGAATTATGAAAGAGCTGATAAATTAGTATTCTTTGTATTCTAAATTTGAATGCAAGGGAAGTGACGAGTACACCAGGGTAATAATTAAATACATAATTTTTTGGAAAATATAAGATTTATTGCAACTAGCATATTATACATTAAATATCTTAAAATCAAATAATACCACACATCAGTGGAGGCTGGTGGATTTTGGGTATACCGATATCTCAATTATTAGATATGGGACCCACACCAAATTTATATGAGTTTATAATGACATTAAATAAACAAGTTCTGCGCAAGCAGAATTTAAATTGAAGTTTGCGAAAAAAAGATAACTAAAACATCAAACATGGAACTGACGACACGGTACTGATGAATGAGATACAAATTGGAGATTATAATTCCAAATTAAGTATTTTACTGATATTTTTTATTAGTGTATGCTAATTATCAACAAATCACATATATCCTTAAATAAATTACAATGAAATATATATAGAAGAAAATAACTACTCACCACAGTACTGAAATTTTGACTGGAACTATACGTGCATTCACCACAACTTCGCCGCTTGCATCGTTTTCAAGATGAATGTCGTGCAAAGGGCGGGCTCTGTAGGTAATTTTTACCAATACTTGATTTAAAACGAGGACTTGACGTTTAAACTTCAATATTTCGGAATTTTGAATTTTAACATTGGACACAGAACTGACGGGTAAAAGTGAGTACAAAGATTATCAATTTTTTAAAAATTGCTATTACTCGAATCTATGATAAAATATTTAATGTTTTATAGTTTGTAATGAAATTGAAAAATTTAAGATAAATTGAATATATTTTAAAATAACATCACTCAAATATTTGATTCAGGAGTTGTGACACGCCAAGGTACTGATGTTTTGAATTTTTTTCCTACAAACGCGCTTTTGAAAAAATACATTAAAATTGGGTGGACAAGTAAAAAAAACCTGTATCTTTTGTAATATACTAAAATATTTACAAAAAATATTAAAATACCTACTCTATTGACTGATGACATCAAGTTATCCAACTTTTGTAGAATCACCCATATAAAGGGTGGGCCGATTACAAAATATGCACCAAATAAATTTGGATCAACGTTTCGAAATACTCAAAACTTACTTTGAATGTGACTGTGATCGCAGAGACGGCAAGAAAATTGCGTTTGGAAGAAATGAGGCGCCGTCAAACCAAAGTATTACAAATTTGATCAAAAAATTGCGCAGAAATGGAATGCTGGTGGACATAAAAGATGTTTCGCATGCTCTTCCTAGACGTACACCTGAAGCAATCGCTGCTGTGGCCGAAAATGTACGCATGAACGCGTCAACATCAACTCGGCGCAGATGTCAACAACTCGGCCTTTCCCGTACCACTCTGAGGATGATTCTGCACAAAGACCTCGGTATGTTTGCGTACAAAGTCCAGCTTGTTCAGGAGTTAAAGCAAGTTGACCATCCACAATGTTTTCGCTTTGCTGAGTGGGCTTTAAACCAGTTGAACGATGACCCTAATTTTGCAAGAAAAATCATCTTTTCGGATGAGGCGCATTTTTACCTCTGAGGTTATGTCAACAAGCAAAACTGTATACAGGATATATAGGATTTGGGCCACGGAAAATCCACACGTCGCCGTAACAAAGCCTATTCACCATTTAAAACAAAACATTCAAGCTCAAATTGCCTAAATAGAGCACCAAACTTTTGACAAAGTGCTCGAAAATTGGTGTTCCAGGATGGGCTACTGCCGAGCCAGCTGAGGTGGCCACTTAAAAAATCATTTTCCATACTTAATCGGAAGAAACATTGTATCAAATATTGAAAATCGTTGAAAAAAATCAGTTTTTCTTGTTCCCATTGCTATTTTATAATTCAACATGAACATGTCCCACCCTTTATAACTTAAAAAGTAAAAAATAAATGCTATTTTAACCCATAATTTTTGTTTTCTTAAGCAAAGTATGAATATTTTATGCAGCAATCAAGATCTTATTCACTTTCTAAGCTTGTATCTACACAAACTATCTGGAGATTTGAATTTAGAGTCGTCGTGAGCCGTATCTCGTTGAATTTCCGATGAAAAGCTTCTGCGAAAGCGTATCTGCGAGTCGCATGTGCACACACTCAGCTCGCAGGGCAGCATCAGCAGGAGCTAAAGCAGCAGGAGTAGCCACATACACATGCAGTACGTCGATAAATAGAGTTTAACGATTCCTATTGTGTCTGTTTTTCCATGTAATTAGGCGCGATGCGACAATCATAAATTCGAGAGGAAGCGATATGCTCTCCGGTGTCTACCAGAGTAACTTTTTCTTTTCTTTTCTTGCGGACGCAATGTTTAACTATCGGGCAGTCGTGACCGTTCTATCTTCGAACCATTATTCGGCATTATCTCGACGGGGGTACATACGATGCAACAAACGATTTTTCTTCGTAAGAAAATATATTTTTGTAGGTTTTGAAGGATATTTTAACGCGTTACCGACGCGATATTTCTACACTGTTATAAAAATCAGATTTGTTAACATGAGTTTGTAGTTTGTTAATTTCAAAGGTCACTGATTTTCAAACTTAAATTAGGGAATACAGTGCAGTGGGTTAAAGTAGCGAAATACTAAGTGTTGCAGTAGTACTGATAATTATATTGTTCCAAATTTCTTTATAATTGTGTGCATGTTTTTTTTGCATTTATTTATGTAGGCATGTGTTAATTTTTTTGTTTAGAAAATTGATTATTGAAGCAACATTTCTTATCAAAATTCTTTTTTATTTAAGTTCCCAATTTCCACCAAATACTTTAGTTACTGGGTCTACATAAAAGTTTGTAAAAACAAGGACCTTTTTGAAAAGAACAAGAATTATAATTGAATTATTGACATAAGATTTTGTTATTAAATCTACAAAATGTTTGTTATACACTGTTCAAAATTTCATGACCATTTTAACACCAAATTAACACCATACATGGTCTATATCGATACAAACCAAAATGGTGTTAAATATGGTTCATTGGTCCAGTGTAAATTCAAATACTAAAATAGTGTAAATTTAACTTTCACACAGTATTAAAATAAATTTTACCTTGTGTAAATTGAACTCCTTTTCAGTGTTAAATATTATGTGTTTTTGGTCAAATTAAATCATACTACACAGAAAAAAAGGAAACAGAAAGTTCCTTGACGCATTACTAGTATATTACCAGTGGTATTATTCCAGAAAATTTAACCTTCAACTCGCTAGAGATAATGTTTTTAGTGCGTTCCACCAACTTAAAATACTTCAAGTATTGACAGCTGTTTTACCTATTTAAGGTCTCTTTAGTATATATACTATCTATATCTATAGAACAACTTGTAGTGTCACACCAAAGCAAAGGACTATAGTCAGGTATACCTGAGCTTACTCTTCTTGTAAGTCAACAGGGGCGAGATTTAAGAACATCACGTGATCCACACCGCCATTGCCGCGATCGGTACACACTATGCAACCAGGAATGCACGGCAAATTGTTTTAATCGTTTTAACAGAGTGCTTTAGGTTGAAGTAACTCTTATGTTATATATATTTAGTAAACTGAACCATACAGCGGGTTGGTTTCACTAAAGTTTTCTGGGTTAATTTAACCAATTTAAAAAAAAAATAACTGTCTGGTTTAGTACCGTCAAACTAATCTTTGTTTATATTAACCTTCCCACAGTTGATTTTAATAAATACTTATGGGTCAACTAAATTAATATAGTTAAATGAACTATTCCTTTTTTTCTGTGTAGGTGCACTTCTCAAATATTTTTAGATAAACACCGTTTTGGTGTTTTCTGTATAAAACATTTTCAACCATAATTCATGGTGTTTATAATAACACCACTTGGTGTTGGATTTTGACACCAGACATTTTAAACAGTGTAGTTACAAACTACCAATTCAATTACAGTTGGTTGTAAACTTAACATACAGTTATGTGGATTAACATAAAATCTGGTTAATATTTGGTTAAAATTAACAAATATTTTTTTACTGTGTATACTATATGCTATAGCACCGGTAGGATCTATAAATAGGTACTGTAAAATTTACAGTGTAAATCAGTATTTAGTCTGATTTTGTGCGAAAAGATGTTGACGACCATTAAATGTTAATGTTTTGCCCACTGCAGTACCAATTTCACAAACATTAATTTTATGGTACATACACTCACATAAATCGCATTTATCTACTACCATATAAACATAGACTTAATTTAGCTTATGAGTAATTATTGTGGACATTATAATCTGTATATCTGTATATATCTTATAAGTATGCAGTCAATATTAATTATTCTTACTTCTTAACAAATGTAAGGGGTCTAAGTTTTTTGCAACTATAGTTATGCCTATAGCCATAAATTACTATACAGGGTGTTTACGGAAATAGATATCGATTTGAAATTTTAAACAATGTTTTAGGATCCCAAAATTCCAAATCCCAAAAAACTCGAAAACTATTCACTTTGGGTATAGTAATGTTAATCAGAATTTTACGTAAAATTTAAAAATATAAAAATATATGGGGTGTTTTATTTAAATTAACAAAGTTGGCATTTTGTTCAAAATATTTTAGAAAAATAGACTAATTGGAATGAATGCCTTAAAATCGATATATATTTTTGTTCCCCAGAAACTTTTAAAGAACACATACATGTAAAACACACTGTATATAAAAAATAAATGTACCCACTAACTTTTGTATTGTTGTGTTGCAATTAATTGATTATCTGTACTTGATTATATCCAACATTGGTTTTCCATTATAATTTTTACGCTAATCAGGAATTAAATAGGTCAGAGTTTGTAGGAATTCACAGTATTTTTAGTATAAATCTGCGTTAATGGAAATTTCTGATTTTAATCCCTAGATAAAAATAAACAGCTTGAAAAAAATCTGGTGACTTTGCTAGAGATATTTTATGTTACCTTATTTTGATGCTCTTTCTTATGGAGCTGATGCGTTACAGAAATGACAGGTTGAGCTTCGGACAAATCATTACCAATACTTACTCGTAACCTACAAAAACTATTCCTCAATAAATTCCTTTAAATGCATATTTAATTCAAAGAACATTATACAAAACTAATATAATTCAGCATTTATTTAATTGCAATATTAATTTAAATGCAATCAATTTAATTGACAAGTTTTGAAATGATATCCATAATCATTTATTAAATATAATGCTATTAGGTATAGCTGTTAATAATCTGTAAACAGGCTGATTAGAACATTCTAACCGCAGGTTTGATTATGCAATAAAATGCAATGAATTAAAATAATTCCAGAAATATTTTAATAATGCTTTAGATTGTAAAAATGGTTAACTGTACTTAGTAATATGAGTTGTATATGCAATTTGGTGGAAATTTCATTTTTTAACGTGGTTTTTGACAAATTTTGCACTAAAACGCCTGGACTGGAACTGTTATTATTTTAAAAAGATAGCCAACCATTTATGAAAGATTATCTCACGATTTAATGAATGCTACTAGTACATTGAAAAAAATAATCTCTTAAAAGAAATGAAAATCACTTTGATTCAAAAGATTTGAGCTTTTGAATAGGGCCAAGAGCTAGCTATATTTTTTAATCTAAATCAGAAACTATCTTTAATTTAAGGCAACCTTTTTTTTCAGTGTAATAGTATTATAATCTGTCAGAATAGAACCGTTGCAACGAATGAAAAGAAAAAAATAATATAGCACGTCATGAATTATATTTTGTTTGCCTTACAGCTCATGACAATGTAAAAAGAACGGTTATACTAAAACAATACAAGAATTATTGATAGTATAGAATGCTTTAGATTGAAAATAACGATTAACTGTTTATTTTATATCAAATTTATTACTTTAATACTGTAATTAACCATTAAGAAAGTATACTTAATCACCATACACGTAGAAGAATTTTTAGCAAAAAATTTCACGAAACTCGTTGATTAGAAAATCATCTTCACTGGTCTATAGACGTATACGTCTAAACAAATTTTCTTTGCATTAACAAATCATTATTTTGACTGCAAATCAGTTTGGATTTTCATTCACATCGATAGCATCGCATTTCGCATCAATTTTTTCTCGAAGATCACTCGATTAGCTGCGTTATGCATATAATTTTCTCCGCATTGCCGGTTTTAATCACGACCCAGTCTGCAAAGGATACGACCGACATCTGTACTACGAGGGTAAGAACAGATATCCAGAAAATAGGGAATAACAGAATATAAAAAGCTAAAGTGCGTTTTAGGGAACTTTCCTCAGCGACTTTGCCAACAATATCAAAACTGGTTAAATAACCAGCATTGTAAGTAAATTAACCAAAATCTACACTAAAAAAAATTCGTGTATCAAATAAATTTATTTGATTTAAAACAATCTTTGTCTCATATATAACGAAGAGAATATATTCTTTAAAATATTAAAGTATTTTCTTAATTCACGTTGATTTACAAGAATCTTTTCTTAATGTAAGAAAGTTAAATTTCTTTAAATAAAAATTTGATTGTTTAAAAGCAAGAATATATAATTTTTGAAATAAGCCAGCAATATTTACTTAATTCAAGAAAATATATTTTCTGTAACCAAATAATTGGTTGTTTTAAAGCAAGAATATGTTCTTTTCTTACCAAAAACATGTGATATTGAAATAAGGCAATAATTTTCTTAAATCAAGATGTTTTCTATAATTCAATATTTTTTTTATTTAATAGATACAAGATTTAAAATTTTATTTCATTTATTACAAAATAATATTTAATTTAAAACAATGTAAGAAGTATCGTTAAAAATAAAATTAATTTTAAGCTACTTTTAGCAATGTTTCAAAAAATCTATCATTTTGTTTTTAAAATCAATAAAATTTCAAATAATGATACGTCTATTAACTAAAATTTATTTATTTTAATAATAAAAACATCTTTATATTTAGGAATATTTATTACTGCAAAAGAAATAAAATTTAAAATAACAATATACGTATACGTCTAAAAACTTGAAGAGAACGAGTAATTTTAAATATCCTGTAATTTTTTAAGGATTGTTGTCTAATCTTAAACAAAACTTTATATTTACGATACGGATTATTCAAAATTGATCCAAACTTACTGAAGGGCCAAAGTATACGTTGTATCGTTTCTAGGTGGTGCAGTAAGCAA